CTGACATACTCTGGGCATGTTGCAAGGAGGGACTGGCCCTTGGAAAGGGACATCATGTTTGGGAGAGTGGAGGGACGGCGCAGGGGAGGAATACCCTTGAGGAGATGGATCAATTCTGTGAGTGGAGTGGTGGGAATGAGTGTTTTTGAGATGGCAAGGTTGGCACAGGCTAGAACGGCATTTAGGGCTCTTGTACATAGGATCACTATGAGTCACAAGCAACTCAATGACACATAACAACAATCTATATTGAAGGCTGCCATCTTTGATGTTCTGCAGCAAGTGACTCAAGTCCTCTTCATTTTCAACAACCAAGATTGTATAATCCACATAACGCAAGTTGTTAGTGAGTCTTCCTCCAATCTTGATGCCATATTTTTTTTTCATAAAGTCCATCTTTGAATAGAAAGAACAGGTATGGAGAAAAGAGTCAGTCCTGCCAGAAATTGTTCTTAATTTTAAACCATATTTTCTGTGCTCTGTTCAGACAATAGCTTCTTGAAGTTATTGTTGTTCTGTGCTGTTGAATCAACTACTTCTCATATTGTTGCTGTGTTGATGTTGTGTACTGTATAACCAGAACTGACCCATAGCTGACCCTCCAGCAGGTTTTCAGAGGCAGTTAATTGCTCCCGTGGAGCAACTGATGGCCTCAAACCATATGCCTTTGGTATTGCAGCTCATCTTCTTCTCACTAGGCCATGGAGCTCCCTGAGCTCTCATGTCTCATATGACCCCGTATGTGTCTATGAAAATAGTTCTGAACCTTGTCCTATATGAGGCCAACCTCATCGTCTCCAACACACCTGCTCTCATTGCCACAGTTACTCTGTCAATCCATCTCATCTGGGATCTTCCTCACTGGTGCTGTTCACCCACCCTTTCAACCATGATGTTCCTCTCCAAGGACTGGTTCCTCACTGGTCTCATGTGAGTGGACTTGGGGGGAAGGATTGTTTAACAATGAAATAATTTTTTCTGCTACTTTTCAAATAGAAGAGCAAACTGAGGGGGAGGAGTGGGCAGAGAGAAAAGTGCAACAATGAATGA